CTTAAATTGTTTGGTGCACATTCAATGTTTGGTGAAGTGTTCAGTATTCGTCATCATAAGTTTTTAGGAATTTTTGATGGCCCAGTAACTACAAATAACTGTTTATTATTCTTGTAGGGGAACTTGTGCACTTTAATTTTCAATTCTTAGGTAAAATTCCAAGATTTTTATATCTTCACTTTTTTCAGACTGTATGCAGCTGGGACTGAAACAGTTATCTTGATTCTACAATGTTCTCTTGCATGGAATTTAGCAATCCATAATGTCATTTTATGATCATGAAGCATTTGCATAATTTTTACATCAGTATATCATTATACACGCTTTACAGCCCATGTTTCAGAAAGATTGGAACGGCAACAATGAAGCAATATCACCAAGATTTCATGTTCAGTAAAACCAAATGTTATTGGACTCGATTGTGCGTGTTAGTGTTACCAAAATTTTAATCTAATTAAGTCAATAATAATGTTTCTTCAATGAAATGTTGGAATACACTGTAGGATATAAAATCACACTTCTTATGTATTCTGTATTCGTCAGAGCAAAATACCAAAAAAGAATTCATTTCTTCTTATGTTTTCCATTGAAATCTTTGCGTTTTTCGGTCGTTTCGGTTGTTTGTTACATGATACACAAAATTCAACTTTGAAAAATTCTATTCAAAAGTCAAAATACACAACGTGCGCTAACAACACAAATTAAACCTTTTTTTTCTTCCCTCATAATCCATAAATGATCTCTATCTAGCGACTTGACTATGTGGACGCGTTTTTTAGTATTTTTTCACCTTTGCTAAATCTATTGATTTTAACGTAATAAATATTATGCTACTACTCAGTTCTAATTAATTTCGTACTAATGAAATATTTCTAGTGTTATACATACATTTTTATTTCTTCTTATAGTGTTTAATAATAATAATAATAACCATTATTATTATACGCATATGATTTTTACACACTTTATATATATATATATATATATATATATATATATATATATATATATATATATATATATATATATATACACTGGTATGCAAAGGAAATGAAGTACCTTGTAAAAAGTGAATTAGATTAAGTCATTATTATTATATCCATTACGGTACAAACTTCATCGGACTTCTTAAGGCTGAAATATGGGACACAAAATGCTTGAATATTCTAAGATCATTAAAGATTTCATATTCGCATCCTTTGTGAAATTTCGATAATTTTCAACCTTTTCTTCAAACCCATTATTGTCATTTTAAAATTGAAATCAACTACGCTATGAAGAAAAGTTGAAGGCCCTTGGCATTATGCCATTTGTGCTAGAACAGAAACCAAAAGAAATGTGTCTGCATATACTAATCTGGAATGTATTAAGCGGATTATAACTTTTGCATGTCTTATTTTCAATATCGCAATGCATTCAGGTCTGTATCTTCGTCTTCGGTTCATGTAACTGCGACGACTTGCAATACAAGTCCTGAATGTCAAGAATAGAACGGAAGCTATATTGTCGAATATTTAACATTTAGCAAAAATTAGTTGACTCATTTCTTCTGCTAAATATTGCATATATATATATATATATATATATATATATATATATATATATATATATATATATACCCCAGGTCAAAATCTTAAGACCAGATAAAAAAAGGTTAAGCAAATATAAAATACTCTTAGTTTAATATTACTAAAATATATTTGCGAAACATTTACATTTAATAAGAAAATGTAGATCATCAACAAACAAGTGAAAATGTTAAGCTTTTAATTGATTAATTTAAACAAACCTTGAAAAAAGGATTTTTGGGTTGGTCATAAAGATAAGACCATGTAGATAAAAATAGCAAATACATAACAAATAAGTCACAATGACAATTTGATTCTCAGTATATCTTCCGTTTTTGCGAATTATTTCGAAAATTCGCTTTGGCATACTCATTATTAACTTCTGAGTGAGGGCGCTTGTGGGTGCTCGCCCAGGATGCATAAACTGCAGCACGAAGAGCATCCACAGTTTCAAATTGCAATCCATGTTTATAAACATCCTTTGCCATCCATCTCCAAACATATTTGATTGGGTTCCGATCTAGAGAGCATTGTGGATTGCTGCATTGTCCTGCTGGAAAATCCAGTTTTCCCCACATAGATGAGTGCCCTCAATAATTAGTGATGCCTTTCTTGACATGTCAATGTAAGTAGCAGCTGTCTGACGACCTTTTACCTCCTGTAACTCAAGAGTTCCATTGTATTGTGTCGTGTTGAGAAAATTTCTTTTGGGTCATCTTTTGCATGCCAGTATGAGTGAAAACCGACTGGGCCATCAAGAGTGAATTTTTTCTCGTCTGAAAACAACACTTCCATTTATTCACATCCCAAGCAATTCACTTCGGAGGCAAATTGTAAACAGGAGGTTTTATGGCGAAGACTCTGCAGCCGTTTCAAGTTCTTAAACCCTTTCTTATTTAAATGCTGTCGAATTGTTCGAGAGCTGCATTCAGCATCTGTATTCGCTTTTATCTGATAAGTTTTCCTTTTGACTTTATTCATTTTGTCATTTTACACATATACTCTATCTGGAATTTCACACACACACACACACACACACACACACACACACACACACGCGCGCGCGCGCGTACACACACAAACACACACAAACAAAAAACAAACATATATATTTAAGTCTTGCGGATGACAGTGCAATTGGTTTCGATATCCACTCGTGTACTATATGCAGAATTATTATGCATAAAATAATTATTTGCAAATAAATTAGTAACTAAACAAGGGGAACTTCATTGTAATTAACCAAACTCTAACTATTTATACATTTAAAATTATCTTTACCTGTATTTCCACTAATCCCTTATTAGCATGAATCTAATAGAAGAGGTAAAATAAATTAAAAGATTAGTCAGTGGGTTATAACATAAAATATTTATAAAAGATAATTTATTATATTTAACTGTATCATTATTTGATGAATATCATTATTTATGCAGCAATTAGTAACGTTTTTATTTCATTTTTCAATGCTTGTTTTTCTGATTTCTTGTTTGTCTACATCTTCCATAAATCCATTTTGTGAATCATGTGTGTGACTGATTCATTACTTTAAAGAGCAGCAATAAGTGGTAAGAAAAAAGATGAAGTGGAAGAGGAAATGAAGAAGGAAATTTCACCGAACGATATCGTACTATGTCATATGTCAGTAGTCATCAATTTGTGTGTAATATTAAAAATGATTTTTATCTTTTTTTCTTTCTTTGTATCTGTTATCAGTTTAAAGAGCAAGGTTATAGAACTTTCTTTAGGTTAATATAAAAAAATCGGAATCTTAAAACATTAGTGATACAAATTTAAACATTTTTATTTGCTGTCTTGCTGTATTTAATTTTTCAAATATTAAAATCTAACTAAGCTTGAAATAGAGTCTCTTTTATTTGAATAGCGATGCCCAGAAGGTAGCCCCAAATGGATGACGATCGCCATTGCATAAAGTTCTCTAAATATATTATGGCTTTAAAATTATTGCTATTATTTCAGGTCAATATTTTTTATAATAGAACAAACGAGCCACAATCATTTATAACCCGGCAAGAACCTATGAGGTATTTTCTTCCAAATTATACACTTGGTGTTTTAAATCCCGATGTTTTTGCAGATAAATTACAACATAACAATCTTTTGCGTTTCCTCTTAACCTAAGGCATCACAGTTTTGTGATACTGTTTTAAAAGGTGTATACCAATCAAAGCATTATAGTATCCGTGATACTATGCATAAGGGTTTAAAAATATTTATATTGGTGACAAAGGAAGATAATATTGTTTAACCTTTTATTAACTAAACATATAATAGATTATAAAAGTTGTGAAATCGGACAGAGAATGAAGAATTTATCACACAAAATTTTTTCTTTTCTTTATAGAATGCTGCCGTTTTTTCATTCATTTTGAAAATTTAAAAGACAAAGCTTTTTGTTTTATTCCTATATTGCAAATATGCCAAAGAAAATATAACAATTTCTTCTTTTTAAAGAAAAGATATGTCTAACTTAAATAAGAGTATCCAGTACAATAAATAAAAATAACCGACTACATTTTATTTGATGAAGAATTTCAAGTGTAGGATAATTTCTTTTTTTAATAATCATGTATTTTCTAAAATACAAAGAACCTTTTTAATAATCATGTATTTTCTAAAATACAAAGAATCTTTTTAATAATCATGTATTTTCTAAAATAAAGAACCTTGTTTAAGAACATGAATAAAACGTGCAATTATTCAATGCATAGAATTTTCATAGATTCTACTTGAAATATTTTGATACTAATTTTCGAAAAGAGATAAAAATAAAAATAAAAATCTTGCTGATCTTGCTTTTATAATTAATGGAATAAATAAGTTTTCTTTTCTTTTTTCAGTCGAAACCCTTCAAAATGACGACATTAAAACCTGTCAGTGGATGAAAGCAACAGAAGAATAACGATCAACCAGAAATATGGGTCCGTAAAGATGGCACACTTCCTTTGAACATACAAAGGAATACCAAACTATATTTACGCTCCAAATTATGCCCAACCAAACTAAATATGAGCCGTAGATCCTGCGGCTATTTAATAAGTTGTGTGTGTGTGTCTGTGTGTGTGTAAATATATATATATATATATATATATATATATATATATGTATATATGATCTTATTAACTCCAAAAGGTGACCAAATTAATAAATCAAATACTCAACACTCAGTAAATATTATTAATACTGATTTGGTCTTAGTGAGATCATGTTAAATTAGATAATTTTATTTATGGAAATCTTGTTCAGCATTATTTGCTATTCTTAACTCGTCTCCATCGTTGTGCGGGACGGTAACTCTAATAAATAAGCAGCTCTATGGCTAGGCTTCACCAAATAACATGCTTCGTTTTTGTTTTATTAATCACTCAGGTTTTGGCGTCGATGAGACGCGATCTTCGCATTTTATCGCGTATGCTTCCGGGCGAATACAGCAACCTGAAGCAATACCACAACGACGCTATAAGTTCCAACGCCGTACCAACAAAAGAGAGGCACATTTACATCCGATCGCGTTACACGCCGATCCAACTTCCAGCGCTAGATTCGGACACAGTCAATTTCTTTGTGGAACATTTTATGGATAATACAGGCCGGCCGTCACAGCAAAAGGTCTACAGTTTCGTATTGGATCCAACACGGAATTCTATTCGGATGGAGGTTTACAAATTAGAAAATATTGGTGATATTAAAAAGTCGCGAGTGTCACGGTCAAAATTGCATAATATAAGCACAACCGAACTTTACAGACATCGCGAATGTGATATGTTTTGGAGACGTTTGGGCATGCGCACTTTTGCAGCAGCAACAGGTCACCAGTGTGTGGCATATATGAAAGGAGAACAGGTAAGTTAGACGAATTAGTGTTGGTTTTCTTTTAAGTGAAATTTAATTGTGGTATAACATGACTGTTGTAAATGCATCAATCAATATGTCATTAAAAAGATATCAAATATGTGAAAGTCATATTAAATTAAAGATATTAAAAGTCATATATATTAGAAATTGGTAATTAATTTATATAAATCATATTTTAATTTTACTTTTACTACTCTTTTGGCAGGGTCGTTTACTATGCATGTTAAGAATAGTTGTAATATTTACATTCAGAATAATGTCATCTTTTTTCCTGTTATTATCACAAAATTTCGGCAGTTTACTCCCCGGTCTTCTTCAGGTGCCTTCCGATCCGGGTAACCTTTATGGAATTTCGAAATGAGCCCTTTATTAAATCTACGAGGTTAAATTGTTCTCGTACCGCTCCGTCTAGGAAATCGTCAGTTGCTCAGTTATTGCTCGCCCTGTTCTCACTGTCTTTATTATCAGGTCCATTTGACTCTCAAATACATTTGATATCAATAGACACCGGAAGAATTTCTTTCATAATATTATCTTTAATAAATATGAATATAGAAAATTACGCAAATGAACGAAAGAAAAAGGGTAGAATTTAGAGAGGAAACGAACCAAGGATTTTGCTTATCAACTTTTTATGCTTATTGATAAAACATTTTCTTTTATTAAATTAAAGTTTTTAATTTCATATTAAATGATGCACTTAAATATTGTAATACCCTCATTTTCCATTGGAAAAAATGGAATCTTATAAATGTTGGGCTAGCACGTGATTGAACATAAAGAGAGAGAGACAGAGAGACAGAGAGAGAGGGGGAAAGAGAGACAGAGAAAGAGAGAAAGTGAAAGTAACAGATTTCAAGAAATATTTCCGTTAGTACCCACAATAAAATCACATTTCATTTCTTTGTGCGTGCTCTCTCTCTCTCCCTCCCTCTATCTCTCTCTCTTTCTCTCTCTCTCTCTCTCTATATATATATATATATATATATAGATAGATAGAGAGAGTGAGAGAGTGTGTTCTTACATATTCTATTATTAAACATATTTCTTGAAATGATATTATCGCCATAGAAAATTAGGAACTAGTATATAAAAGACTTTCACCTGAATGTCCCCTAAATCTCTGCATATATTGTTTATATCAGAACTTCAATGAAATTTTCATATTTCCAGAATACTTTCCACTTGTTCAAGCACAAAGTTTCGATTAAAGTTTTGAGCAGTTTCAGCCTCAATCAAAATTTTAAAAATTATTTGTGGGGCGTTGGAGTAACACCTGTAGATATTAATTTTGTTTTCTAAAAGAAAAGTTATGAACAATTAAAATTCTAAATCAAGAATGTCACTTTTGGTATTTTCACTACCTAAACCATTTGGTTATGAAAATAATTTTAATTAGTTGAAATTGCATTTTTTATCGTTTTTTTTTAAAAAATAAAGTTGAATAAAATCTTAATGAATGCAAGAAAGATAAAAATTGCACATTAGACAATTAATTTCATTCTCAATTTTTTAATTGAGAATGAAATTAATTCTGAAAAAATAATTTTACTCATTCCATCCGGTTCGAAAACAAAGTCGCAAAAATGGATATTTTGTTGTTTGTTTACATCATCTACAGAATCTAACTAAAAAAACACTCGTTCTTTAACACGTATGTATATATGTATACATAGTCATAACGAAAGTAATTAAAAGTAATTAAAACGAAAAGCAAAAAATATATCTATATATATATATATACGTATGTGTAAAAACAAACAGTTACTTCCCTTATAAAAAAAATACCAAAAGAACACGTGGAATTTGAAATCTAGAACGCTGCATACGCAATAAAAAAAACGAACAGTTGAAATGTTTTAAATTCACAGAAACACATATACATACTCACAGACAACTTAACTCCCTGCAGATGGTCTTTGATGAGATTGAAAGTACTTGGGAAAATAAAAACTATTTAAAAGAAAATTTTGGTATTTTTCTTACTCAATTTTCTAAGACAACAAAAATTAATCCGCGAAATGATGGCAACGAAAACCAATCGACATGATATGTCTAAATTATTTAAGCAAACCTGCCTGAATATATATATATATATATATATATATATATATATATATATATATATATATATATATATATATATAGACGTAGGTAAAAAGTAGCAAAATTATTGCCTTCGTCTTAGAATTTATAAATTCCTTAAAGAGGCGGTATAAAGCCCTGTAGGTATACTGAATGAATATTCTCATGCTGTCTCATCTACATGTAAACTCTTCCTACACATATGTGCAGGAAGAATCTTGTCAGTCTTCCATGGTTCAGTTGTGATGCGAGATGGTGAGATGCAGGAAGTATCAATAATGATATTCTTCTTGGTTGATGATTACGTAACACAATAGAATGCACTATGTACTATGCAATATGCAGTATATATATATATATATATATATATATATATATATATATATATATATATATATATATATATAGTATATATATATATATATATATATATATATATATATTGCATATAGTGCATTCTATTGTCTTATGTAATCATCAAGCAAGAAGAATAGAATTATTGACACTTCTTACATATATATATATATATATATATATATATATATATATATATAATAAAAGTCTACAAGCTAAACTAAAGACTGTCTTTACAGTCTTTAAGTCAATACTTTTAATCATTTTAATCAGTATTGTCGTTTTTATTCGAGACTTTATCTGTATAAGAGTTTTAGATTTTGGCAAGTTGTTCGTTGGCTCCATCTACAGACAATTTGTTTTTGGGATATCATGAATGTATTCATGGATGTTTCAGAAATGTGTCCTGTTTTTAATATTACTGATGCAAATAGTTGTACCATTTGTATTTCACACATTTCAGGATTACAAAGTGATATGCCTTTGTCCTGTGAGTTTGTTTCTTAAGATGAACTTTTGTCATTTTTCTTAAAGTGTGGAATTAGTTATATATCAGTTTTTACCATCAAGGTATTACAGCCATGTTCGCAGATGTGTTTGCATTATGTGGGCGCGGTATTAAAATACATAAAACGATATATTATCTGACAAATTCCTGTCATTTTCACGTAAAATCTCTTTGGAAAAGTCTTGATAAGAAATATTATTTATAAATCTTGAAATAAATTTATTGCTCCAATGAAGTAAAACTTACTCTACATTATTAACGACAATCATTTTGCTATTAATTTCATATGAAATTTTATAAATGCAAAATATAAATGATTTGCATATGCATGTGGGAAACACATTCTTCTTATTTGCTGATCTATATTCTTCCTGTAAAATATTGTTCATGTCATGCTTTGATTTAAGAGATAGGCGCCCAAAACAGAACTATCAATCACTTCAGAGGCAGGTCAGTAATTCCATGAGCATCTTTTGAGTATTCTTACATTTAAGTAAGAATTCATTTTATACAGATGCATGTTCATCAATTCAAATGTATATATATTATGACAATGCGTGAATCAATGTGGATATGTAAAGAAACATTATTTGCATATAGTTTCCTTCAGTGTCTGTATGTATTGAAACGTGGAAGTGACAGTCATCATGCAATGTTGATTCCTATGTTCACATTGCTTATATATATGTATGTGTGTGTGTTTGTTTATATATATATATATATATATATATATATATATATATATATATATATATAAACTAGTTTTATTAAATTTAACAGACAAGGTCTGTCCGTTTAAATTTTTATAGTAGTTTTTCAATTTTCGAATCAGTTGTTTCACATCCAGATCAAAAACGTAAGACGGCATTTTAAAATGTGTATAAAATATTTAAAATCATTATAACTATTTAATTCACTCTGGGGGTGTAAATTTCGGTGAAACCGATCTGCAAATGGGGCCACTATACCATACCGGGATATTTAATTTTGAATTTAAAATGTCATGATACAACTAACAAAAGTTTTTGTTATTATACTGAGAACATTTTACTCTTGAAAAGGAGCTAGACGCTCGAAAGGACTAAAATAAAAACAGAAAAATAAAACATGAATTTTGAACATTTTATTTACAATTTTGACTTATTCGAAAATTGGAAAATACAATAAAAAATTAAACAGGCAGATCTTGTGTATTAATTTAATAAAATTTCTTTAAATAGATAAATATTAAATATATATATATATATTATACACACGCGCACACACGTATGTGGTGTGTGTGCAGTCATTTACTCATGTAATTCTTTGTCAAAAAATTGTTTTAGTCATATTAATTACTTTTATTGTGCAATTATTTCTCTTTCTGTGCGGCGAAAAAATCATATCTACTTGACCTGTCTCATCAAAAGTCATTGCAAGATGTTTTATTTTACTTCAATTCTTTTTCAAGGACAATCTGCTCAACGAAATCGGACGTAAGGTAAGCTTTTTTATAGCTCCTCTCCCAAGCTAAATGTGCGTTCTCGTGGTGCGACCGGTTAAAATCGGTCAGTTCACATTTTCATTTTCATTTTTTTATTATTATTATTATTATTATTATTATTATTATTATTATTATTATTACTATTATTATTATTATTATTATTATTATTATTATTTAAATTAACCTTCTTAGATGTTTTTTTTTTGTTGTTGTTAGTCCTGGGGTTGTTGTTGTTGTTGTGTTTGTCGTTCTTGTTTCTTTATAAAAATGAATTTTGGATAACGTCATATTGCAATGATAAAGGAGAAAATGGAATATTCAAAACAAAAATTAGAAACAAAACAAAAAAGAGCAACAAACAAAACCTGAAAAAAAAAAACCCCAAAAAACAAACAAACAAAAGCAGATAGAGTTTTACTTCCAATGAAAAATTCCATTCATAAAACACAATACACAACACAACCTAAATTAGTTTACCTCGTGGATGAAGAATTATTCATACAAATCAGTGTTTCCCAACTTTTGTTTGGAAATAAATCTCACGCTGGATAACATACAAACTAATTCTCGATAAAAATATGCTTCTTTTATCTCGAGTCTGAGAAGTGGAAAACTAAGGGTAACGAAACGTTCATTTATCTTATTGGCGGGTGATGCATTGATTCTCAGTTTGTCTTTCTAGCATTAACTTTGCCCATCAACAGATGGAGAACTTTTTTTGAGTGTCAGTTTTAACCATAGCAAATCAAAATTAACCCCCCCCCCAGAAAAAAAACTTTCACGATTTCAGAGGAAACCCAAATTATTGCGAAGTTTTCAAAATGTTAAACTCACATGTGACTTATCTACATTTTTTCAGTGATTTATGTACGATGATGATTGTGAGTGATTGTGAGAAGTTACAGAAACGGAAGATAGAAACAATTTGTTATGCCATTCTTTTTCGATATTCTTGAATATATATATCTGCCAAAATAGGTGTATATAAGGCCGCAACAGTTTGGTCATCCACAGCGAATCTGCAAGACAAACTTACTAGCCATTGCGCCACACCTTTTTTGATGTTTTTTTTTATTTATGCCAATTGTGTTGGGAAACACTGAACAAAATATCTTGCATGTTGTTTGATGAAAAAACAAAAGGTAAAGGGAAGCACTTCATGCTTTGTAATGATATTTAAAATTGTCGCTTGTTGCTTAATCGAGAGTTTGCTTCGGCATGGCGACAGAAATTCACATTCTTAATAAGTGCGAAATATAATGATAAAAGAACAAGGAAATGAGTAAGAAATCGTTTTATTTTATATAATATACCAAGTGTATTTGTTCGTAATGTCTGTAACTGTTTATACTAGAGTTATCTTTCTTGTGTGGACGATTTATTTATATGTTTACAGACTCACATGCGAAAACCGAATAATAATATAATAGTCATATTTTGCCGGTATGGATAAACAGGGTTATAAAAAATGACGGAAAAGTTATTTGATATGTATCTTAATTATTGTCAAGTTTATATGCTTGAGCCAATCTTTTCAAATTGTACATTTTTCATGTACTGCTTTATTGTTCGACTATATTTTCTGAAATTCCGAATCAAGTCGCATCCACTTGACACTCGCAACAATAAGGATTGTACTCGTTTAATTCGGACATCGAAATCAACTGAAAAAGGAATTCAACTGTTGCTTCTAAGAAGTACTGTCATACAAATAATGATGATGAAGAGACTATTGTCATATATAACTGAATGGTCAGTTCAGCTGGTTTTTATTTTCATAGATAAAATAATAGTAATAATCATAAGTGAAAGAAAAAACAAAACTTGAATGTAAAACATGTATGGTCAAGTGAATATATCCCTACACATGTAAACAGTCATATGCACTGGTATCAACCTAATTGATCCTTATTTTATATATATATATATATATATATATATATATATATATATATATATATATATATATATATATAACATGGAGTGTTGAGGATGCGAACGTTGTAACCACTCGGCCATGTACCCATGGTCCTTTATTTTAGTTCATTTAGTGCACACATATGGATAAGTTCGGATTATCTACAAAACCATACTTGTGGACAACCCTTACTATGAATGATTTGCAATATCAATACATAAAGCATTGAACATTGCATATGCTCTTAACTGAATACACAGGGTTTTCATCAGTTATGCAAATCTATAATACATAACAGCTAATAGTTAAGAACTTTATAGGGGTAGACTAAAATATAGCAAATTATTTGTCATTAGGAAATATTTTATTTCATAACTTACATTCAAACATTAATAAAATTCTTCATTCTAAAAAATGCGTATAAATAAGTACTATAGAATTTAACAATGATTCTAGCTATTTTTCTGCTACTAATCTCTGCGGAGTAAGATTCAGAAATAGTAGGTCAATTACAGTTTCATCAATTTTGAGTTAATTCCGAAAACTTTTAGTGTAGAAATATTTTCTTTTTGAAACTCAGATATAGTGATGGAAAATAATATTGCAACCCTTTGAATAGGTTTCAATTTACTAAAGATTAAAGTAATATTGTTGGATTACAATAATCACTTAAACATATTCATAAATAATGCATCTATCATCATCATCATCATCATCATCATCATCATCATCATCATCATCATCATCATCATCAATATTCAGACATCTTATTAATGCACCATATATCCTCATTGTGCACACAGGATTGAGATCTTACATTAATATAGATGTTGAATACCATCCTACGATTAAGTATTCCACTCTTCTTGCGCCTATTGACGTAATACAGGAAGAGTTGTAGAAGGAATAACTGAACGCGTTGGACTATCAGCTCCGATACATGTTCAAGGATAAGCCTGGTGATCGCGCCCGTTAAAGATATTGTCGAATATGTTGCAAAATCTGTTTAAACTCGTGTTGCTTTGACATTATCCAACACATCACATTCCTGTAGCAGGAATGGCAGCAGAACAGTTTGTACAATATTCTAAATGTAGATGACGCTGTTGCTGTTCAACATCTCCAAACACCGAAGTATGGCTAGAGAAACACGTGTCCATAGATTTGCAGAAAGTGAAAAATTCCTCGCATATCGACAACCCGGGTCGACATTTATTGAGGATGCAGTTTATCCTGCCGTTGTTGTCCTTACATTGTGCCAATCGTGTCAAGTGTCTGTATTACCTGGCCATCCAGAATCTGTTTTCGGGGCGAAGGAAGATTCATTTTATTACTGTTGCCACATCATGTCGAAAGTGTCCAGCTATTTCTCCTAAATAATCATTCAGTTCCTCAAACGTTCACAATCCGATTCCACACAAACATCTCTAATTGAACAGAAAGTGCAGCTTAGCATCTCCGTAGAATTGGCACTAAATTGCACTGCACTCTCATGTGTCACCGACTAAAGTTTACACCCAGATTTCCTTGTTGCAAATTTTATTTATCATCAGTCTATGTTTAAAGTAATTAGACTGAACAACGCCAATTATTTCTTATGAAGTGTTTTTGATTCATCAACTGTCGCAGAATAAAAGAAAATTCAAGCTATCTTCACAAAATGTAATAAGAAATTTTGTTAGCTTCAGTTTATCTTTAATAAATTACACGTGTTTTTCCCGTTTCCTTTTGTTGATAGTAAGAAACATTTAAATACACTTTCGATAATTTTTCAGTTTATCTTCTTAATTTCCTTTCGCTATATTCGACGCACCTGTCATCGTTAGGACTTGCACAATCACCACCACTACTAATCCTAATCACCAGGCACTTTTTACACACGTAGTTGGTAGTATTTTAGTTGTTAGCATACAAGTTACATTGCACAGATAATCATGGAATGATATTTTGTGTTTTTGTGAAATTGTAGCTTTAGGACGACGAAATTAGCGTTTTTTTTTTCGCCGCCGCCGCTGCTGCTGATGATGATCATGCTGTCATTGTGTTGTTCTATTATTATTTTATGTGCTTTTGTTGTTTCATTGTATTGTGATGCGTGTTACAAATATTAAAATCTCTTTAATATTTTTACTTAATGTCTATAATATTCGTGTGTATTCACTTGTCTATTCATATATATGCACAATATATATATATATATATATATATATATATATATATATGTGTATTTGGAAAGCAATCCCTCTTTTATACTAGTTATGTTGAAAACGACTGACAAGGTACTGTTATTAAGCTAAAAACATCATCCGAAACAGTAGTAGCCTCATCCACATATAAAAAAAGATAAAAAAAAATAATGGAAGCCCTAATAATAAAAAAGAAAAGCCAATACTCAACTAACATTAACTGCGAACACGGCCACAATGTGCTGGTCGTGTTTTGAAAATAAAACATTCCCACAACTTCAGACATATACATAAAAACCTATACATTCTGTTTAAATAAAAAGCTTAATCGCAGTACATTGTCAGTCGTTTTTTACGAAACATATATATGCATACGCACATCATATGCGCACATCTATCTAAATTTATGTACATATACAAGTATGTGTATATCTGTAGAAATGTATGTATGCGTATTTACACACAATACTTGAGTGCGTGCACGTAAACACTTATTTGTTTAAACAACCAAACTGAAAAATGGTTGAAAAGTGTTCTGTTGATCACAAATGTCTTAACTCTTAAATTTTCAGTTTATTTTATATCTTTTGAATGTTTGTTACTGAACCATTTATTTTTATTGAATATGTTCTGTCATTGAAGTAGAATTATCAGTAAATTCATGGACACTGTAACATTGAAATTTGCCTTATATATTGTAATTTATACTCAGCCATTTAGGATGATCTACATAATATACACATGAAAATATTTTCTGATTTTGAATGCCTAATTGCTATTCTGGGTTTTACGCACATAATGTGTTAATATTGGAAAAGAGGCTTTTATTTGAGTTTGAAAAATATCATAAAGCAATAAGAAATTATGGCAGAAATGTTGTTTATGCGTGAAAT